CCAGCACAATGCCACAAGTTTGGGGCACAGAGTGGCTTTAGGAAAAAGAAACTGTCACAGTTACAAGGGGGGTGTTTCCCCAAAGGTGGCCAGTGTTTCCAGGATAGGGAAAAGGAGCTCCACACCTGTGTTGGAAGAGCTGAGTCATTTTTCCAAACACCACGTTAGGCCGATGCTGGAGTTTGAGCACAAGCTGGGCAGTAACACAAGCCTGGGCTGGAATGCCTGCACAGCATCCCTGAGCTGCACTGGGCCTGCAGCTCATCCTGCAGCTCTGGGACTCTGCAGGGTCCGAGGGGAAGGGAACAGCTCTGGCTGTTGAATTTGGGTTCTCCTTTCACCCATCCAAGCATCCACCTTCCCTGCAAGGACAGCTGAGACCCAAGGGCAGTTTAGGCCCTTGCTATCATTGCTGTTGGTCAGAGCCTTTTCTTAACAATACTCTGGCACCTCCTTACATGAATCTGGGTTTTGTGATTGATGACAAGCAAAACTCTTGTCCAAAAGACCATAATGTTTGCTTGCAACCTCATTGCTATAGTTACAGAGGTCCTCAGGACAGCTCTGAAGTAGGTCACCATGGACTCCATTTTTTCTGTGTCTCCCAGTGCAGCACAGATCCAGAAACAGAATGCACCCACCACAGTCCAGCTGGGCATCGCCCTGGCACAGCCCAGACTGTCTCAGGGAAGGCCAGGCTGGAGAACTGCCCTCCAGTAACAGCACCCAAGGGTACAAAGGGCTGTCCTGCACCTGGTCACAGGAAACTTCTGTTCCTCACGCAGCCCCAGTGCCAGCTAATGGTGTTCCCCAAGTCAGGGCTCCCTTCCAGCCTCCTGTCTCCCCATCCCCCACCTCCTTGCTGGCTCCCTCCCCCCTTTCCCCCAGTGCCTCTCCTCCTGCTTTGCATAATTTTCCATTTTCAGTGTCCCCTTTTCTTTTTCTCCTCTCCATATGGTGCGTCCCCCTCTCTGCCTGGCGCAGGAGCCATCCTTAACAAGCTCGGCAAAGCCCTCTCTCAGGGGCTGCACATGAAAGATGCTCTGTAAAAACAGAGGCTGGGATGGAGCTCCCCCTTTTTTCCCCCCTTGATTTATATGGGGCTGGGATGTGGGAACGTTTCTGGGTCGCATTTTAGAGCCGCCGGGTGCTTGTGCCTGTTCTCTCCAGCCATTCAGTGCAGACCCCTAAGGCCAGCTCGTCCTCAGCCTTTGATCTGCAATGCAGAAAGAGCATCCAGGGCAACTTTGTGCCTCTCATCCAGCCCCTGCCCTCATTTGGGCTGGCAGGGAGGGATGCCCTGTCCCACCACACCGGGGAGAGGCCATGGCCTTTCCTCTCAGTGTCTGGTGGCCTTTTCCAGCTGGCTACTTTGGCTCCCTCCCACATCCCTGGCACCGTGAGGACCTTCCGACTCATGAGGTCCAAGGCACTGGGTCATGGTGAAGCAGCAGGTCGTGGGATTTGTGATACAGGGATTCTGCACATCTGAACTCACCCCTGCCCTTCTCCAGCTCCACTGCACATAGTGGCCAGTGAGCACCCAGGGGTGCCTGGAGGGTGCTGGGGCTGAGCAAAGGGTGCTGGGGCTGGCAACGCCTGCCCAGCATTTGATGGGTTAAGCCAGTCTCTAGCTAATTTCTCCCAGCGGCTCCCCTCCTCCTCCTCGTACTTCTGTATGCAGCAGGCAGGGCCTCAGCGCAGGTTCCTGCACTGAGCTGTTGCCAGGGGAGTAGTTAGGCGAGTCTGAGCTATGTGGGGAAAAGGCCCGGGCTGTCAAAGTGTCTGAGATGAACCATAGCCCGGTCCCCCTGCAGCTGGGCCCAAGCATGCATCAGCCCTTGTTTGGAGCCTGGGAATGGCAAAGCCCAGGGAGGTTCAAGGGCAAACTTGCTATTCATTAGTCAGGGGTCCTTGACGTTCCCACTCTCTGTCTCCCTTCTTCTTCTTCTTCTTCTCTTTTCTGTCCCTCTTTTGACAGATTCCTGGGTGCTTTTGGGGAAAACTCCCCTCCTCCTCCTCGCCCCAGCAAAAGCCCTCCACATAAACTTCCCCAGCAGACAAGGCAGGAGGACAATAACGTCAGGGCCACGATGCAAACGAGAGCCAGCGGAGCAGCCGCATCCCCCGGGTGTCCTTTCTCCCCGGCCCTTCCCGCGCTGCTGCGGGAGGCTCAGCCGCCGCATTCATTTCGCTCATCTTGCCCATCTCCGGTGTTTTATTATCTTGATGCTTGCAGGAAATTGTAACTTGAGATAAGGAAAATGTCAGGCGCCTTCTCCTCTCTCCTGTAGCCCAAAGCACCGAGAAGTTGCTCCGTAGGAAATGTAAACGCTTGCCCAGGTGCAGAGGATGAGCACGAGATGGAGGGAGCCTCGAGAGGCCGTGCGAGCATCTCCGTCAGGAGATAAAACTCGCGGCGTAGGCGTAACACGGAGCCTCCCTCCCGCCCTGCCGAACAGAATATTTCATAGCTCTTAGAAGCCGAAGCTCCCTTGTAATTATCCAAAGCAAACAGCACGTGTTATTAGTTTAAAATGATTTTTTTTTCCCCCTCCCCGGGCCCCTGGAGCAGAATGGAGGTGTAATTGTGCTAAGGAGTTAGCAGGGGAGAGCACAGCTTTTGGTCACATTCAAGTTGGAGGGCTTGAGCCAGGGAGGCTGGTATGAAAGGCGGGTATTTGCATAAGCAGCGTGCATCCCTACAAAAAAGAAAGATATCAGGGGCTTGCAAAATTCAATCAAGGCTGGGAGGGAAGAAAAAAAAAGAGGGGGGGGGGTGGAAGGGAGGGGGGAAAAAAATTGACAGTGAAAAAGGTTTTTCTAAGTAACACCCTGTCGAGATTAAATTGTCCAGAAAGTTTCTCCGTGTGAGCCGGTGAAGCGGAGGCTGGGCTGAGGGCAGGGGAGGAGCAGGGTCCCTCCTTCCTGGCCTCAATAGGGGACAGGAATCTGATTAGGCAGAGCGTTCTGCATCCATTTACCATTATTTGAGCTTTTTTTTTTTTTTCGCTTCCCACCGCCCAGAATTGCTGTGGCAGGGCAGTTTATCAGCATATAAACCTCAGTGCTGGCTTTGTAAGGGCACAAGGAGGCAGAAGAGCAAGTGTTGGGGCAGAGGCTGAGCTATAATTTCAATTGTTTATTCAGCTTTAAAAAGAAAAAAAAAAGATGGACAGTAAATCCACAAAATCCACACACAGAGGGATGTCTTCCCTGTGCAGGACATTTGGGAGGGAAGACAGTGTTGGGGCTGGAACTGGGTCCTGGTGAAGCCCTATTTTTGCAGGCACCCTTAGCGCAAGGCTGAACTCTGCTCAGAAAGTGCATGCAGGAGATTTGAGGTTTCCTGAAGCTTATGTCGAATCAGTTGGGTTGGTCTGGCCCCTCCTGCCCTCAGTTACTGAGTGCCAGAAGTTTCAAGCCTACCAGGCAGGCAGAGGGTGATTTCCAGTCTGAGTTGATGTTGGGCACCAACAAGCACCCCCTCTGTCCACACTACAGAGAAGCTTCTCTGTAGGCCAAAGCAAGCTTATCCTATCCCTGCAGAGGGCAGGGACTGTCCCTGCCCAGGACAGGGGTCTTTACCTGCCAGGTAAAGCCTTTCCCCTTCAGGAGGCTTCAGCTGCCTCCTCCAGTCCTGGGCTCGTGAAAGCACCCACCATCATTCAGATCTCATCTGTCCTAACCTCAACATCCTTTCCAGGCTTGGGGGAACATTTGGGATGACTCCTGATCTCACATGGGATAAAGAAGTGCTGAGCCTTGGCTTTTTGCAGCCTGGGTCTCTCTAAACACACACAGTATGGGGTCTGTCCTCTCAGTACCCAGAGACAAACACAGGCCATGGTTCTTCCCCAAACCCAAGCACATGGGGTGGGTTTGGCTTCTGCCTCTCTTAAGTTTTAGGCTTGCTTCAAAGTTGCAGAAGGGAAGGGATTTTCCTTGGATTTCCATCAAGTGCTTTATGAATATTGCAATAAAGGGGTTACAGAAGATCTATTTTTAAGAGAGAGAAAAAATACCCATGAAAATTGCAGCCTGGACCCCAGAGTGTAGAGTATTTGCACAGTTCAAAGAGTTACGGTGGTTCATCCAGTCACAGCCTGGGAACGTCGCGGTGCGACCTACAGCAGATCACATGCCGGCTGCTCCCAGGGCGGCTCATTAGAGAGCCACACAGAAGATTTATCTCTTAAAATGGGCTTGCAAATATTTTATAAAATTTGCAATATTTTATAAAATTACAATTTGGTGCAATAAAAAGAATAAATTAACCAGCTGATGGTTCCTTTTGCAAGTGTACTCAAGGATTTGTTATATTAGTCTTTACTCCTTCCAATGTAACAGTTTATGGGCAAAGCAAAGGGATGATAGGAAAACCTTGGGACTGGTTTGGGGGGATAGGGGAATACACACTCAACATGGATAAAGTGTAAAGGAAATAGATGAAAAACAATCAGAAAAAAGGGAGGAGAACGTGCTGCAAGGTGCGAGGTGTGTGGGGAAAAGCACAGGAGGCGTGGGGAAAGCAGAGAAGGGGACTTTGGCTGAGCGTCACAGCTTCGGCTCCAGCTCGGTGGCTTGGTATCACTTTCTCCAGTCAGGCAAGGGCGCTGAGGGCAGGGAAAGTTAACACGAAGATTAAAACATCAGAGGGCTGTGCCTTTAGTGGCTCTGACATGCAGAGTAATCCCATGCCCCAAAGCCTAGGGAGGAAGGACGAGCCGTGAGCCCTCCCCTGGCTGGCGGTGTGCGGGGCAGGCAGAGGTATGGATTGAGGAGGGTGCAGGGGAAGCTTGGCATCTTGGGGACTACAGTTTTCCTGGTAAGGAAGAGGGTAAGGTGGTCCAGAGCCATGAGAAACATGTGGTGGGGAGGGAGAGAGGATTGGAGTTCTCTTCCACCAGGGACAAGTTGGTCTGTTCTCAGCCAAGTGCTACTGGACCATTTCTCTGACAGAGATCATAACCACTCCATTTTTTTTCTTTCCTTCCTAGATCCCAGTGAGAGGACAAGGGACTTTTGAAGCCTGTGAGTTCCTTCTTCCAGCTGGCTACCACCTGCCTGGACTTGCCATCTGACTTCTCCGAGTTTCTCCAGGAGGGTCCCAACCTGCTTCTCCATTGGTCTCAAAGAGGAGTCAGCTTTGTCTCGTGAACACAGTGGATTTCTGGACTTTGAAACACAGCGGTGCAGCCATGGGGAGGGAGCCAGGGCAACACAGGGAGCCAAGGGATCATCCCACATCACTCCTGTATGTTGCCTTCAGTGCCCTCAATACCCCAGAGCAGGACCAAAGTGCTTAGGCAGAGAGGCCTGAGCCAGTCACTGTCTCACCTGGTGAAATACCAGGTGTGTGAAGTTTGGAGGGAGCTTTTGGCCCCCGGCTTTGCTCATGGAGCAGAGCTCAGCCCTTGCTGCTCTGGATCCCTGGGTCTGTGGAGCTGTGGGAGTGCAGCCTTCCCGAAGGCACTGTGCTTGGGGCCCAGAGGACCATGAGATTTTCCAGGCCAGGCAGCCCTGCTGGTGTTGTACTGCACCCTCTCTGTTCCTGTACTGCCTGTATTCTCTCCCATTCAAATCCTCCCAACCCCATGCACTGTTGAAAATAAACTCTCTCTTTTGGAAAAGTGAGCGTGTGATTTGGTGCAGTCTCGAGATGGAGGAGGCAATGGGCACAAAATAAACCCAGGCAAATCAACAGGGAAGCGGGAGCAGCCGAGAGCCATGCAGCCAGGCTGCGCCGTGCCCCGCATCAGGCACATTTCCCTGAAAGCCCGAGCGAATCCCTCGCCGCTCAATGATCTTTATTTGGTCTGAACCCCGTCTGGGAAGTAACCGCTAAACCCAATGCAAACAGACCCCCGTGAAAGAATATAATGAATATGTCTCTCAAATGATTTGGAGCCCTTCTGCCTGCAGAGCAGGGTTCCCCATTGTGCCCCGCTCCCGGCGTGCTCGGGGCAGGCTGCGCGAGGTGGCCGCTTTCCCAGCTGAAATCCGAAAAAAGCAAACAATGGGTCAAGGCCGGCATTGTGCGAGCCCAGGCAGGCAGAAGGAGCGCAGCCCGGCATGGCCAAGTTCAAGGCTGGGCAGGGGGCCGGGCGCAGGGATGCTAATGGGGGCTGCGCGGGGGCTGCGGAGCAGGGGGGCCGGGGGGTCTGCGTGCTCTTACCCTGTGCAGCCCTGAGCACCCAAAAACCACCTTACAGAGAGGCAGCGATTGTCAAGTGCTGCAAGAGGTGCTGGGTGGGGACACATTGGGAGGAATCTGGGTTGCTGGGGGGTTGATGGTGGTTGAGGGGCTGGTATTGCAGTGGGGGATTAGCGTGAGTTGGAGGAGAACTGATGCTACTGGGGGCAGACTGGTGCTGTGAAGGTGTTACAGGGGGAACTGGTGTTGCTAATGGATATGACTGGGGGAACTGGTGCTGTGGGGGGCTGCAAGTGGAGGTGATGGCACAGTGCAGGGCCCTGCTGGTGCAGTGGGCGTCCTGGGGGCGATCTGGGCTTGAGAGCCTCGAAGAGGACACAGCTTCTTTGGGTCTGCCTGCCGCTCCAGGCCCGAGCAGAGACCCCCCTACACCCCCTCATCTCCCCCGTCGCTCCCCCCTCCCCGGATGAAGTGTGCGGAGACAGGCGGAGCGGCCCGTGGAAAAACACCATGGAGGGCCTGCACAAAGGGGGTTTTATTCAAATTTGTTTAGAGTTTAGCGGATTTGCATGAAAAATGTGTGAGAAAAGCCGGCTCCAATGACCTCATCCCCAGCTGCCATTAATGTTCAATTAAGTGCTGAATAGTAGCAAAGGGGGGACCGGCCGGGACGTGCAGAGAATCCAGGCTCGGGCGCAGACTGTGAGAACCGGGCGGCCCCCCCGACCGTCTGGCCCCGGCCAGCCCCGACGGGGTCCCCCCGCCGCCGCCCCGCTCTGCACCGGGAGGTGCGCTGAGTCCGTCGGGTCTCAGCCCGTCTGGGTTATTCCCCGGATCAGTCGCATTCTGAAGCAGAGTGCTCCCCCGCCGCGTCCAAGGTGGGTGTTTGGAGGGGGCAATGCCCCCTCTCTGCGTTGCCGGGGCTGTTGTCACTCCCCCCGCAGCCCGCCTCGCCCGGCCCGAAGCCGCTCTCCGCCTGGCAGACGGTGTCAAAGCCCAAGTTCAAGTCCACGCCGAGGGGCTCTGCCCTGGGATTCCCAGCTCCTTTCCATCCTCCGCCTTTTGTTCGCTTCTGACAATTGCTCTTTATTTCTTACACACCCCCAGCCTCCCCCCCCGCACCCCCCTCCCTGCCCGCACTTGGCACCGTTTAGCTGTCTGCCTGCAAACTTAACAACCCCGGTTCTTGGTATAAGCACTCAAATTACCCTTCTTTCTACATATAAACACGGCCCGGGGTGTGCGGCTCTCCCCGGCCGCGGGGTCCCCCCGGCACAGCCCGGCTCACCCGCACCGACCCCGGCCCCGGCCGGAGGAAGTTTCTGCTGCGGGACACGGCAGGAGAACACGAGCCGAATACAGAACCCCCGCTCTGCGTGGCTCCCCCGGGCTAGCGCTCAGGTAAGGGAACACACACCCCATTCGCTTTTGGGGGGCTGCCTCTGCTTCGGGGCGTGATGACACAGCAGGTTTGGGGGAGTGATGGGGAGGGTGTCTCTCTGTAGGGGTTCCCACATACTCCTGGCAAAACCAGCCCTGCCTCGGGCACGCTGATGAGGAGCCCCGAGCCGACCTCCCCCGGGCGTGCGGACCCACCCCCGGCCGGGGTGCGGCGGGGACACTGCCTGGCGGGGGCAGTCGGAAAGCCAGGGGAGGTGGCCTTCCCAAACCTGCCTCTGCCCCGGCCTGCCTCTCTCCGCCCCCCTCGAGAGGGGAACACCCACCCGGGGAGCGGACCGCGGGCTTGGGGGGCCTTTGAGGGCCGGCACCCCCAGGGCTCCCGAGCACCGACACCGCCGGTCCCGCTGCCCTCCGGGACGGGGCTTCGGGGCAAAGCCCTCGCCGAGGGTCAGCGGCACCATCCCCGCTGGGTCACGCCTCCCTCTGCACAGGTGTGATGACATGGGGCAGGAGAGGCCATAGCGTGACCGAAGGAGGTGCTGACTGACCCCACAAATAAACCCCTTCCTCTTCCCGCTACCTGCGGTCGGCTAGTACTGGGATAAACTGGTCGGGACGGGGCGAGTCTGGGGGCCTCGGGCAGATTTAGGTTTTCGTCTGATTTAATTTTTTTCTAAGACAATTTCGGGTGAGGGAGGGGAGGGTAAACTCACATGTCCCTCCACTTCCCGGGGCTAAAATAGAGATAACGGATGGAAGGAGCAAGCGCACCTTCAGCGGGGAAGTGAGCAAGGCTTGGGAGAGCGAGAAAGGAAAGGAGGGGGTAAGAGGCTGAGAAGGGACAGGGAGGAGGAGGGATAACGAGTGGGGACACAGGAGGGGATCCCCCGAAATCCGTCCTCGAGCCCAGCGCAGCGACGCGGGCGCCCTTCACCGGCGCCTCGGGGCGGGGCGGCCCCGCGGCCCGGGGACACCGGCGGGGCCGTGCCGAGGGCCGAGGGCTGTCACGTCGCATCGCGTCACGCAGCATCGTGTAGTATAATACGGCGCCATAAATGATAGCGGAACATAAGCATATACGTGTTCTGTATATATGTATGGAATGGAGCGCATATACCGCTGTATTGCATTGCAGTCGGGAGTCGCCACCGGGTTTCCCCCCGCTCCCGACGCCCCGTGGGGTGTGGGGCGGTCGCGCTGTGCCGCGTCCCCGCCGAGGATGCGCTGGGGTGGCCGCGTCCTCGCTCCGAGAGCGGGGACGGAGCACTCCCCGCTCCGCAAAACAGAGCCCTTCTCTCTCACGTGTGTGTTTGAAAATAGCGGCGTGGGCGCACCCCGGCGCCGTGGGAGAGGCCGCGCCTTTTTTTTTTTTTTTTTTGGTGGCTATTTCAAAAACCCGCACTCGCAATGGTTCCAATGTCCGTCCCTTCCGTGGGCCCGCACGCGTGAATGTACGCACGGCTGCTTCTCCCCACAAGTGCCTGTGAACATCTCTCGCCCCCTCAGCAGAGGAACCAGGGGCGGCCCCTCCGGGGCACCCACCCGCGGCTCTGCACCCACCGGGGACTTCACACGGTGCCGGTGGACTCACAGAGGTCACATAATTGCTGGGGCTCAGCACCCGGGCAAGAGTCGGAGCCCTTGGAAGGAGGGAAAAGACTTTTCCCCCGGTCGGTGGGAAATCAAAAATATCCCCACGCGTGGAAGCAGTGAAGATTGGGCTCTGGGTTTGAGGAAAGTGAGACAAAATCGGGGGGAAAGGATGGGATGGAGGTGAAAAAGGAATGGAGAGTTGAAGGAGAGGATGGAGGGATGGAAGGGGAGAAGGAAAGATGGAAGGATGGAGGGGAGAAAGAAGGATAAAGGGTAGAAAATAAATGGAGGGTGAAAAAGGAGGGATGAAGGGTAGAAAAGGAGGGATGATGGGTGTAAAAGGAGGGATATAGGTGGGATAAAGAAATGGATGGAAACGAGAGAAGGAAGAATATAGAGTGGGAAAAGGGGGAATGTAGGGTAGAAAATGAGGGATGGAGGGTAAGAAGGAGGAATGGAGGATGGAAAAGGAGGGATGAAGGGAGAAAGGAGGGATGAAGGGAGAAAGGAGGGACGGAGGGGGGAAGGGTACCGCGCCCCCGATTGGCTGCTTAAGCACAAAATCCGGAGGTGGGTTTGCGGGGTGGGGGCGCGGAGGGGCCGGGGAGTGCTGGGGGGCAGAGCTGGGTGCTCGGGAGGCTGCCGGCCCCCCTGGCAGCCATTTTGTGGCAGTACCTGCCTTGGTGCCAGGGCTGGGCGGTGGGGCCGGAGCAGAGCCCTGCCCGACCCTCCCCGGCCCGGCGGGGCGGTGAGGGGCGCGGGGGGGGGGGGTCTCCACGCCACGGTGGGAAACGTATTACCGCGCCCGCCACGCTTGCCCATTGACAGAGATAAACATGCAAATGAGTCTCTTTGCATGTCATTAGCATACAGGCAGATTGTGGGGGGAGGGGCCGCAGTGTGCGCACTGCAGCGTGCTTTAATGCAACACCCAAACAGCCATTGCGGGTCTCTCCCGCCAGCAGCACCTGCGGCTCCCCGCGCCCCCCGCCGCGGGCAGTGGGACCCCATTACCCCCTTGCACCCCCCGGCCCGCCGAGCCAACGCCGGGGCTGTCCCGCCGGGCACCCGGCTCGTCCAGCCTGCCGGGCACAAGGATACGCAGGGATAAATAAAGGCAAACCTGGGGAAGCGGCTGTTTTTGGGGCTCTTTCTGTGTTTTCACCTTTTTTCATGTTCTTTCACCTTGTGCAGGGAAGGAAGCGGGAGGGGAGCTCTCAGCCGCCGCCTCTTGCAGCCCCGCTCCCGCCACCGCCCTTAATTGAGTGGGTTGGGTGGAGTGGGGAAAGGGAGTGACAAAGCCGATGAATTTGGGGAGGGAAGGTGCAGGGGAATGGGTACCCGGGGTAGGGGATCCCCACGGCTGCCGGAGCTGGGGAGCGGCCGGGGTGCGCCCTGCGGGAGTGCATTTGCAAACGACGGCTGCGAACCTGGGGTCTGTGTCCGTCTGTGGACAGGGCTGTGTCCGCGACCTCTGCGAGTGCCG